AAAAACCACGACAGTGAAGCACTGAACTGTCGTTCTGCCCGTGAGAAGGTGCTAACACAGTTCAAAAGTCATTAAGAGGGAGAGCCAGCTTTCTACGCTCTCAGGCCACCGGGTCAGCAGATGGCTGCCAAATCCTGCAAAAATCTCACTGCTCCAACCTGCGCCGTTTCTGACACTAGGAGCTTCCATCATGGATAAGCTGGTATCCTGCTCTGGAGTCCACTGCTGGCCACCGGCATTGGCACATAGCCGAAGGACCCCACAGGAGCCCAGGTGGGAGGCTGGTGAAGAAGCCCTGCCCCGCAAAATGCTCCTTACAAAGGGCAGTTTCCTATCGGGGACACAAAAGCGGCCTCCTCCACCGCGTTCACCTTCCGAAGTCCCCCAGTGCATATCAGGCCTCTGTGGTCACATTTGGGCCACAGGCAGGCTGGTGGCTCAGCCTGGAACGCTTCAAGCGGGAGACAGGGCAAGAAAGGACATGGGGGTGGCCGTGAAAGAGGCAGACTAGACACGTTTGCACCCATGGACCTGTGCGAACAGTTCCTCCTGGCTCACTGTTTAGGCTGTTACCCCCTAGGAGGAGATGTGTTATCTTCTTAGTCATTTCCAGAGCCATTAAATGGGGCTGAGGGAGGGGCGGGGGGAAGGCGGGCGCCTTTTCTCTGTGTGTGAGTGTGTGTGAGTCAGGAAAAGCCGGAAGCCTTACAAAACTCCTTCAAACAACAAGCCGGGAGGGGGCACAATCCGCTTCCACCCCCAGACAGTGAGCAACTGCATTCTCCCCCGAGGATCGCGGCCACCCGCGGTTAGGGTGGATGGGCCAGAATCTTCTCTGCTCCAGCCATAAGGAGACCTGCACCACAGCTGCTCACAGAGGCTGGGTGGCCTGCATCCCAGCAGCCCCAAAGGGTTTCAAGCCAAAAAAACGCTGCAGCTGGGTGGGTGCGGTGGAGTGGGGGGAGACGCAGAGGCCCGGGTGGCAAGCCGCACCCCCACCAGGTGCTCTGACGCCCTCCCCCGCGCGGGAAGTCACAGAGGTCTCCAGGCTGCTTCCTGAGGAGGCTGCCTGACCCCCACCCCACAGCGTGAGCTGCAACTGCCTCAGCAGCGGCGGCTCCAGAAACCGGCAAGGTTCCCTGCCAGGCAGTCCTCGGCACCCCGGGGGCACTGGTATAATGAATGCCACCTGGTGAAAGATGAGCATTCCAGATGCAGTCATAAGGAAGAAGGCAGCCTGCCACACACCCACGCAGACACACAGCCGCGACATTCCCTTTAAGCACTCGGGCAAACCTGACCAAGAACTTATATTTGCAGTAAAACTATATATGAAGTGTCTCTAAGTGAATAAAAAATCTTAACCTTTGATTGAAAGTATATGAAAGTTGGGGGTACTATCTTCTGCATGGGAGAATTATCTAAATAAAAAACATTTATTTCACTTATTAGTGAGCATCTGCAAATAAAAAACATTTATTTCACTTATTAGTGAGCATCTGCTGTCCAGCCTTGCAGTGTTTCTTACTTTCTTACACTTCCCACTGTCGTGGGCTATATTTTTAAATGTTTTCACATCTAAGTTTCCACCTATGCAGATAGATGTTTGACTGACAGGAAAGTTGAAGGCATCGTATAAACTGATTGACACTGAAATCTCACGTATTTGCACGCAGTCCCCAGACTGAGTAACCCCTTTGCAGAAACCAATGTTGCATATAAATTCTTTTGAAGGAAAGAGGATACATAATTTTTATTATACACACACACTCACATACACCTCAAAACAAAGGAGCAGGGATCCAGAAGACAGGCGGACACTAATGCTGGAGCTCTGGCTGCCGTGTGAGCATCAACTACATTTCACAGGAAACCAAAGTGGGTACAGGTGCTAAAAATTAAACTTAAGTCATCTGGCATCTACACCACTGAAATGGAGGCTGCAAGACAGGAGGCGGCTCCCAGGGGTCCTGATTTGCAGTGGGGCCCACACCACCCTCTGTCACGTCTGCTGTAACATCTGCACAATGGAGATGACACTTCACATGGCCTGCGTCACAGGGCTGTTAGAAGATTAGACCCAAGACAGAAAATCCTCAAGGCCTTTGGGTTTCTCATAAATATTAAGACATGCGATGTGATACAATGCCAGCACCCTTCACAGAACTGTACAGGAGGTGCAAGGCTTTAGGAAGAGGTGCAGGCACCTGAATGTGACGTGGTGATACCTCACAGGGCACAATATTTGAGATAGGGGAGGCAGGGACCCAGTCCACCCCCAGCGTCCAGGGAAGAGGCGAACAAGACAACTCGAGGTCAGCCCAACAAGAAGATCCGGAGGAAGGGAAAAAAAACAGTCCTATCTCGGCAGATCACCAGCAAGTCAAAAGAACCAAGCCTGTCAAGTGAAATTCTGAACTCTTGCTTCAAGGTCTAGATGCACGAGAAGACAAGTAGGACGACATCGCACTGGCAGCCCTTCAGGGTGGGAGACGCGTCGCAACGGACAGACCGGCCCCCAGAGGGAAGGTGCAACGACCTCCTCATGCTGCATAATACTCAAGCTCACAATATAGCCCAAACAGACTGCACACAGTCACCTAAACAATTACCTCGGGTTCATAAGGAAATTGGGAGACGAGTGCTGAACAGTCACATACCCTAAGATACTCTGAATTACGGAAAATTGGAAAATCGAATTGATCAATTAAACACACACCTACTTATTACATCACTGCCATCACGGGGGGAACTTACCATGGGTCCTGTGCCAGGTCAAAATAGAAAAGCTCAGCAGTATCCCATTCCTGGCTTTCATGAACCAGTCTGGCCAGGAGGAGACAGACAGTGGGACGGAATGCAGCGTGGCTGGGTTTGGTGTATAAATAGAGACTGAATGAAAGCAGAGGCCAGGAGCAATCGATTCTGCCTGGAAAGGAGCAAGGGTGGGGCTTCAGGCAAGTTTCAGAAAATGTGCCGCTTGAACAGGGCCTCACAAAGTCACCATTTCATCCACTACAGAACAGCAAAGAGCGTGCGTGATAAGGCACGAGCAGCCCACATCCCGGGACCCCTGTCCCCGGGCTCATCTAGCTGGGGGGCCAGTTCAGCGAAGCAGAGAGGCGATATGGGGTGGCCTGCATGCACTGCCTTTGTGGGAAAGAAGCGGGCATCACAGGACGGCCCTTGAAAAGGGACTTGGTATTTTCTCTATAAATTGGGAGATAAGTGCTGAACAGGTCTCAATAAATGAGGGTGAAACAAAACAGACAGGAGCCGGGGAGGTGGTGCCCGCCCCAGGCCTGAGGCAGACTGTGGGGACACTCACAGCACAGCTGAGGCCAAGTCTCTCCATGTAAAGAGAGAGGTGCAGGTAAGTGCGTGGGAGGCAGAGGCACCCGAAGGCTCGGCAACCTTGACCGTGACTCGGCACGGCCATAGTGGTGCTTCCAAGAGAAGCAGCAGGACCAGCGAGCGAGGTGGGCAGAACTTGGTGCCAGAACAATGGGCCCCAAAGATGACAGGCCCCAGTCCCTGGAGCCGGAGCTGTTACCGTCTAAGGCAACAACGCTACAGATGAGATTATATTAAGCATCTGGACATGGAGAGATTATTCTGGATTATCCAGCTGAGCCCTAAATGCAGTGACAAGGAGGCTTATAAGGAGGAGGCGGATGGAGATCTAACCACAGACAGGACAGGCCACATGGCCACAGAGGCAGACACTGAACTGACACGACAATAAAACAAGGAATGTCAGCAGCCACCAGCTGGGAACGAGGAGGAACAGCTGCCCCCCACTCCCCTGGCTCTGGTGGGCGTGTGGGCTGTGACCCTGAACTCCTGCCGCAGTTGGGCACCACGCCAGGGATTTGCAGCAGTGCCTGGAGAGACATGATGTGCGCGGTGAGCAGCCCTTCCTGGCCCTGGGGTTGCAGTCACCGGTCTTGACAGGAATCCTTCAGAGGGAAGGCACTTCAGCTCTCAAGAAAGGGATGAAGTCCAAGATGAAGCTTAGCGGAAGGCTGGATTATGTAGGTAACAGGCCCAGGTAAAAGTCCAGAGGCAGTCAGCACAAGATAGGCGGAGCTGCAGAACATGACCTCCCAACGCCGACAGCCGACAGCCAGCGGAAGGGGACGGGATTGTGACAGTGGGGAGAGCAGGGGAGATACAGACACTCAGAGGTCATCAAAGGGCCAAACTTCTGGCCGAGGGTGACCACCTAATTCTAAGTGCCCGTTGGCTCTGGAGAGGTGAGAGAAGCATGGGAAGCATTTACATGTGCTCCGGCTCAATCAGGACCTACTCAGGAGCTAGACCAGGAATAAACTATCACGCCAAAGACATCGGTGCGACTCAGGTATGGAAGTTCACGGGAGAGGGTCAGAAGGACGTGACACACTGAAGAGCTGGACATGTGCTCTTAGGTCAACAGGGAAGGAAGTCAGTGAGATGCACTTGGGAAGATAGGAGCAGGCGAGGGCACCCACCAACGACTGTGTGTCCGGTAAGAAGGCGGCCAGGCCAGCCAAGGCTGGAGGTGACGGGGACCGGTCAGAAGGACGGGAAAACAGTGAGGGTTAGAGAAATATCTGGAGGACACAGCAAGTTATCTGAACAGAAATGAGTGAGTGGTGGGGCGTGCGGGCAGCTAGTAAGCAACACCACCCATCTCTGGAGGAGGGATGGCACAGGCTCATGGCTGACTGCGCCGAGCCGACAGAGTGGTGGGTCACAAGGAGACAGCAAGCCGGGAACGCTGGGATCCGAGGCCGAGATGCCAAACATGTCTGCGCACTTGAGGCTGCGATGTGCTCTCATCTTCCTCCTCCTATTCCGTCACGATGAAAGGGACCCAAAAGTGTCCCTAAAACTTTAATGTCCTACAAACAACCGTTCTGAACTATGCTCTTACCACCCGCTCCTAAGGAAAACCCTGCACTGGCAGCACTTAAAAGTAAATCCAAAATTTTCTAAGAGGGGAAAAAAATTCTCACCATCGGCCACTGAGGTCCCTTTTCTGTCTTGAGGACATCTGGCGACAAGGACACAGAGCAGCTGCCCATGGACCGGGGCCTTTGAGGGATGCCCTGGGTTAGACGGCAAAGAGGGTGCACTTCTGAATCCGCAGAGGACGTCAGGTTCAGTGGAGCAGAGGTGCAGGTCCTACGAAGAGAGAAAATAAAAACAACAGGTTCACAAATATGGACCACCTGGGAAAAGCGGTGAGGAAAAAGTTACTGAAGACAGATTTATCTGGGGAGGAAAGTGCTGGGCAGATGCCAAGAAAAGGCTCGTGTGCGCCCTGCAGCTGTGGATCCCACAGTCCTCTTCCCCAAAATGCTCGGGTGCACAGCTCTGTGGCAAGGGGACAGTGCCCCCTATGGACTGCGACTTACAGTGGCTGCCGCCAGCTCAAGGCAGACTGGCAGCACCTGGAACAGCAGGTGAGACAGGCCAGTGGGGGTGACAGCGCGGCAGGAGGGTGGGTGTGACGTGAAGATGCAAACCGTGACACAACCCCAACCCTGCAAGTCCCTCAGGTGCAACCTCCACCCCATGTGCTTTAGGATGTGACCCCCTCCCAGGTCTCAGCCCAAATAGGGCTCTGGGCCCCCGGCTGGAAGCACAGTCACACAGGGGCGATAGGAAAACCTGTGTCAGTAAATTTTAGACAAGAAAGACCAACAAATTTCCACAGAGAATAAAGACCTAATAAAATACATGCAAATAAAACATGAGCAAACAGGGGGTTAATTTAAGGCCTGTTTTGGAAGCCCTTCTCATAGTCTCCAAGTAATCTCTGGCCGTCACGAGAGGTCCAGGCAGAATGAGGCTGTTCTGGACAGAGGACATTATCAGCAAAAGCCCAAAACACGGCCCCCCGTCCATCACCTCCTGCGTCCGAGCGCCCACGTGAACACCTCCCCTGCTCCCTCACAGAGCCACAGGCACAGGAGGCCCCCACGTTTTGGCCAAGGATGCACTCCACATTTTTTAATTTAGCACCTACTATATAAACCACACTGAGAGGAAACAGAATCATAAGTAGTAATGTCTGCCCTTAAGGAGTCAAAAAACAATTAAATGGAAAACAGAAAGTAGGGAAATGTCAGAAGGGAAAACAAAATATAAACATAAAAAGCAGACAGGTAACAGTTAAGTGTTCATACAAGGGGCAAGAAAGGAGAGAGAAATAAGGGTTACGAGCATTTAGGAGAGGGGTATCCGTGAAAGAGCATGGAAGACACACGCTGAAGCTCATGAGGAATGGAGGAAAGACACACGACGGGAACACGGGGACAGAGATGCCGGGGCTTGGAACGAAGCAGCCACAACGAGCTCAATGCGATGGAGTCAGGACGCTGAAAGGAACAGTCGGTTCTGGCTACCAGTAGGTGTTAACGGGCCAAAGGACGGCGCGCAGACTGAGTCCGGGCTTTGTGCACAACCACCCTGATTTCCAGATCAGGAAACGTGACATGCAGGCTTTTCCAGAGAGCTACACACGGAGAGAAGACTCAGTCTTCGAGGCTGATCAGGAGGAAATTATGGTCGTCTGGGCAAGAAGTCATGAGGTCCTGACCAGGGGGAAGCAAGGAAAAAGTTGAAAGAGGGATGGTTGGGGAAGAAAAGAGGACTAATGAAGAATTAGGACGTTTCAGGGACTGTGTGGGTGAAGAGATAAGGGACAGAAAAAAGCAAACATTGTCTGGGATCACACCCCAGCAACCAGAAGAACAGGGCTGTGCTGGTAAGGTGCTAGGAAGGAGGAGGCGGACAAGCTCCGAGGAATGTTTCTGTCTTGAAGACTACATTTGAGGTGTGGGTGGTGTAACCAGATGGAAAACTTCCCGGAGAGGTGAGCGCACTGGCTCCAGGAGCCTGCAGATACAGGGCCACACGCCGTCCACAGCACCATCAGCCCACTGGGAGGATGCTGAGGACAGAGACACAGGCTGCAGACACTGTTTAGAGAAAGAATTCAGGGGCTATGGGACGGAAAGGTTGTGGAGTCTCTCAAACACACATCACAGCTTCTGACTTCAGTGGTGAACCATCAGGAAAAATTCTAAACCAGAGAACTTGGAAATACTTCACAGATGAGGCTGGACTTATACAGGGAGCATATTTCTCAAAATACTTCAAAGACAAACATCTAACAAGCAAAAGTCATCCCAAAATATCAAACTGTCGATTTTACGGTCAGCAATGACCATAGATAAGAGTTCTATGGAATCTACATAATAAATCATGGTTAACCAATGACTTGATTTCAATCACTTAACACCATGACCCTTCCCCACCCCCAAAAAAACTCATGTCACCAACAGGTACGTAGGCTGTGGCATTTTTAGCACTCCTCCTTCGCTGTTGGACACACAGGCTGACGGCTTCTCAGGACCCTGCGCCAGGCCAGCTTCAGCGTCCATGAGCCGCCGGTTTCTGAGACCAGGACGGTAAACCACACACTCTCTTGAGTTGTTTTCAGCTTCTGGTGGAGAATGCACAGCTGGAAGTCACTTCCACAGCTGTGCAGACTGAGGGTTCTGCAGCTTGTCATTAACAGGGGCAAATGATAAGGTGGCTGCATACGTAAAAGCGTTTACAACCAAGTCCTGTCTTCCAGCAGAAGGCAAACCAGTGAGCACAGAGGAGCAGGAAGCGAGCCTGCCCCCCGAGTGCCTCTCTCCTCCTCTACTGCATAGCCCTCTAAAGACGGAAAGCCCTTCTCAAACAAGAAAACCTAAAGGCAATGCCTAACATGTGTGTTTACTAATTTATTTAGTAATCATGACCAACAGTTCTTTATTCTGTGCCTGGCACTATTCTAAGCTCTTCAATAACCTCAACAAACCTCCTATCCAGGAGTAACTCTTATCACCCACCCCATTTCATATAAGGGGAGACGGAAGCACAGACTGTGAGGGACCCCAGGTGACACCCTCAGGACACAGCGGGGCCAGGGCTTGCTCTGAGCAGTATTCCAGGGCCTTGCACTCAGCCTCCAGGCTGTCTATCCTGTTGCTCAAATACACACTCCAACACCACATCTCCTATTTTTAAAAAAGAGTAAACTATTGTTTAAAGACAGTAAATACTGTCTATGACATAAGTGTTTGTGGATTATTTCAGAAATCTCCAAGAGTACCAGATATAAACAACCCAGAAGAAAACAGCCACACATACACATGTACTTACTTTCTGGGGATAGTTTAAATCAAGAAGAATCCATTTAGATGCATAAAAGTTTTGACCATTTAAGGTGACAGAAAAAAACAGAACCAGCTATCCTAAAAGACAGGTTGCAGGCATCCCCTCCTGAGAGGCGAGTCTCCTGAGGCAGAGCTTGGACGGACACAGGGCTGCTCTCAAGACTGTTTCAGGACTTCGTGCTTTACTTCCCTAATGTTTCTCCCCCAATTTCCCAGATTGCATTCTAAATTTGAGTTTAAAAGAATGATTCAAGCATCAGGTTCATCATGATCCTTAGTTAGCATGGCAACTTTTACTACAAACTGACATTTTGACCTGTATTTGTGAAGACCAGATTTTAATTGAAGGCTTTTACAACTAACCATCAAGTTAACTGTATTTTTGATTCTCCTAACATTTCTCTGGATCCTGTTTTCTCATTTGGCTAATTTTATCTAAGATATTTATTTGGTACCTTATTTCAAAACTTGGAGGAAATGCTGCTAAACATAGCTTTTGAAAGGCAGAGAAGAAAGCAACCAAGGCTTACTGATGAAATGTTCTATTTTGGCTATGGGCAGAGGAGGAAATCGTTTCTGGATTCAATCTCCCATGATCCTGTGATAATCCAGAATTGACAACATAGAGCACAAGTATTAGATAGGTCACACGGTTCGGCCAGGCCAGATCATCAGAAGGGAGTTTTAGAAGCAGGGTGCTAGAAACGGCATTAGAAGACTTATCAACAGCTGCCAGAGACTGGAAACAGCTTCAGCCCCACCATGTCCTTATCCACTACATGAAGTCCTTGTGAATCCCTCCTTCAACACCACAGTGGTGTGGAGAATGTCACAGGAAATGTGGGTGGCCATGTGTCTCTCTCCCTGACCCCACACCACCAATTAATGCTAATGCAGCTGGATAAATAAGATCAACAAGGAATTTGTTAAACTCAGTGTCAAGAATAAGAACAGAAGCCTTTAGATCAAAAAAAAATGTACTGACTTTTAAAAATACCTTGAAATTCATTCCTCTAAGTGACTTTGGGATTTCATGAAATTATAGGACTGCTCTGTACTTTTAAAGTCTTAGCAGCTCAGATCTATGCCTTTGAGAATAAACTGCAGGCAGCCTTAAACAGTGCAGAACTTTAAATCAGACTTTCTTACTATTAACTCTCCAGGAGTGTTTCTGAATGCCTCATCCACCACAGAACCCTCCAAGCTGGTTTTTCCAAACAGCATACAACAGAAAGCTAGCACTGGCTCTTCCTGGGTATTCTGGGAATAGAAAGTCCTGTGCTCAAGGTGTGGGGCACGTGGCATGCCCTGACCCTTCCTTCCTGGGAATGTGCAGTGTGTATGAGTAAATTCAAGACTCCGAGAAGTCCAGAGAAACGCTGTGACATGTCACCTACACTGATTTGACCAGCAATGCATTGTCACAGGACTTTGGAGGATACTAATGCTACAAACAGTACACTTTGGGAAATGTTGCTCTGAAATACTGAATTTGGCATTCAAGGCTTAAGAATCTGACCCAAAATTGACCTTAATCAAAATCAATAACATACATCACAACTCTGATGAGCAATGCAGACTTCACATCCATTTCCCCTAGAGGAGCCTCTCCTCCAGTCAAGTTCACCTCCTCCCCGTGACCTCAACAGAGCTTTGCTCCATTGTTTTGTTCAGACGATTATCCATGCTAGGATTTTTTCCTTCAATCAATTTAGTCAATATAATCTCTGACACTTGACATAAAATCCCACCTCCTAATGTCCCCCACATAATATCATCTTTCCTCTCCCTTGAATAGTCCACCCCAAGTAGAAAGGCACCCGTTTAGGACTCACCTACTACCTGTGTTGTGGAGTCCATATTTCTGTATATATGTCTGGTCCCCCAGCTATTCAAGGACTGGCTGAGAACAGGTTTTAAGCTCTTCATTTTTACTATAATATCTAATGC